ATCTGTCATGACTACAACAATACAATCGAAAATAAATGTTGCAGAATTACAAAGAACAAGGCTGACCCTGAAGAAGAGATATAAGAAGATTCATCCCCCAAACCTTTTGCAGAGGTGGGAGGTCCACAAGGGTAGTACAGTGCATATATTTTCAGATTACTTTTTGATGTGTTGATCAGTTATGTTTAAGTTTTTTCTCCTTTTTAAAATTTTTGTAAGGAATGGCTGTCTTGTTTGAAAAAGATCACACACACACACACACACACATACCTTTGTGCATGAGTCACAGAATTTCAGAGTTGTAAGGAATCTCATCAACCAGATAGTCCAATCCATACTTTGAAAAGATTCTGTGCCCAAACACAACTGTTGTCCATCTAGTGACTCTTTAAATACTTCCTACTGGGGGAATTCCACTAGTTCCTGAGATAACCCATTCCAGTTTGGCACAGCTCCCCTTGTTTGCTGGTTTTTCCTTGTATTAAACCTAAATTTGCTTCTTTGTAATTTCTACCCCTTGCTCTTAGGTCTGCCTTCCCAGGCCAAACAGAACAAGCTTTATCTTCTTGCACCAAGTGCCTTTCAAGTACTTTAAAGATGGAACCCATTGACCCCCCGTCTCACCCTCTAACTTTGTTTTTCCAGCCCAAACATCCCTAGTTCACATTACTAAGTTTAATATGACATGGACTTGAGATCCTTCATTACTCTGGAGGACATCCTCTATGCATTCTCCACCTTTTCAAGGTTTTTTCCTCTAAAATATGATGCTCAAACAACAGTGAATTAGCTGGCCCTCCTTTGAAAGGTCACAGTCTTTGCTATGTGTACATGAGCTCATTTGCATCATTCACATTAAAAGTCAGTCATGGAGAAATGAGAGCGTTAAAAACACAAGCAGTTTTATTTAAATATCACATTCATGCAAACAATGATGTGCATATAACATTGAAAACTGTTCAATTTTAATCCTTGAATCAAAATTCTCTTTTACATTAAACCAAAACATAAATTGAATCCAGATAATTCAATTTGCAAATTTGCTCATAATCAATCCTTTTTTTTCCCCTACTTCTTCAGTTCCCTCTACTTCTTATGATGCCTATTAACTTCAGATACAGAAATCAGTCCAAGGGAACATCAGTTCTGCTACTTTCTGTCTGTATGATCTGCAAGTCATTTCCTTTCTCTTAGCTTTAGTTTCCTGATCTCTCCTCTCTCTTCCTCCCCTAAATGTATCATTCTATAACACTAGTAACTATTGTGAGAGGGAGAAAACCAATTGTTAAATAAAATTAAATAAAATCCTTCCAATAAATAAAATTATCTATGACTTTCATTTACCCATTCAAGGCTGATTATCCAGAAGCCTGGACAATCAACAACTTGTTCTTAAAAGGAGATGTGTCCCCATCACTGAAATGCAATCATGACAGGGAGTTCCTATCATTGTTTATTATGGTCAGATTGTAGCCCTATTATACTGTAGGGAAGTGAAACTGATCCCAAATGGAAAACCAAACCGTATCATTTTTCTTTCAAGTGAAGAACGAAAGACAAAATTAAATAATGAAAATTATTTCATAATATGATCTTAACAAGTTCTCCCATAATCAAGGATTATTGATCAATCACTATTTTCTATGCAAAGAAATAGTCTTCCTATCACCACACTCCAAACACCAAAAAGCAAAGAAGCAAATCTAATATAGCTGAATTGGGAACTAGGATACCCATCAACCAACCTATCCTAGATTACATGTGTGAAACATGGATTCAAAGGGGAGGGTCTTTTAGAAGTTGCCTTAAAAGTCCGATGCTCTTCTCTTTTTTTGTTTATCTGTTAATACAGTGAAGCACTTAGCACTTAATTTCGTACGGAAAAGATGCTCCACAAACACTTGGTGAATAAACGACAAGCTCTCCAACTTAGCAGCCTTCTCAGGGCCATTGGTGGAGCAGTGGTTAGAGTGCCGAGTTCAGAGTCAAGAAGACTCATCATCCTGAGTTCATATCCAGCCTCAGACACTTAATAGCTGTGTGATCCTGGGCACACAATTTAACCCTGTTTGCCTCAGTTTCCTCATCTGTAAAATGAGCTAGAGAAGGAAATTGGCAAACCACTGCAGTGTCTCTGCCAAGAAAACCCCAGATGAAGTCACAAAGAGTCCAACACAACTGAACGATTGAACAAATGAATTATTAGAAAACACTTGATCTTTCACATCCCCACTATCTCAGAGTGTGAGCTCCTTTGAGATAATTGCATTGTCTTATTTATCCCTGTCGCTCCCCAAGTGTATGGGCACATGCATTTTGTACAAAAATGGTATTAACAATATTTGCTGACTGAATACAAAAATGAAGGCATAGTTCTGTAAAAGCAGAGTCAGGAAGGCTAGAACTCCAAAGGAGGTGAAGGCTAGCTATGAATGCCAAAAACAACTAAAAGGTTTTGTGGAGTTTTTTTTAATTCTGTATTGAGGGGAAAAAAGAGGATCAAAGAGGGCCAGTGCTCAGAATGGATGAGGTGATAATAATAGATAACAGAGAGAATGTAGAACTGTCCTGCTCTTGTTTTGCTTCTGGGTTTTGTTCTGATTTTTTTTTTCTGCCAAAAGAGAATGATTTTTGGACTGGAAAGGATGAAATAAAAAAATAATGGCTAATGAGGGAGTTGAAGCCAAAAATAACCAGAGAGATAATAAAAGAGCACTTAGCTGCTCTTGATGATTTCAGATCATTAGGACTGGATAAATTACATCCGTGGGGAGTGAAAGAACCATGGATGTATTTGTTGAGCTACTATTGGCAATCTTTGAAAGATATTGGAAAATAGGAGAGAGGTCACAGGCTTAAAGAACTGCCTTGATTTTTGAAAAAGGAAGTGAAGGCAATCTGTAAACCATAGGCCAATGGGATGGACTTTGATTCTTGAAAAAAATCAAGAATATATTATTAAAGGGATGGTGGATTAACATATAGAAAAGAAAGTAATGATCACAAAGAACTTGCATGAATCATCACAAACAGGTCATGCCAGGCTTACCTCATTTTCTGTTTTGACAGGGTTACTAGACTTGTAGACAAAGGGAAACTCCATAGATGTATTAGTAATACTTTATTATTATTAATTACAGCTAATTAATAATAATTAATAAAAATAATAATTTATATGGTACTTTAAGGTTTCCAAAATGTTTACATGTTATCTCATTTGATTCTCACAACAACCCTGTGTGGTGGGTGCTATTATTATACCAATTTTACAGATGAGAAAACAGTCTGAGAGATCAAGGAACTTACCCAGTGTCCCATCACTAATAAGGATCTGAGGCAGAATTTGAATTCAAGTCTTCTCTCACCACAAATCTAGTGTCTTATTTGCTACTGCACATGGTTCATTTAGATTTATCAAGGCATTTTGCAATGCTTCTCATGCTATTCTTGTGAACAAAATAAAGAGATGAGGGAGTTGTAGCCAAGTATGGTTGAGTTATGGCTACATAGTAATTCATCTGAAAGAAATATAGTTGTTTTAATTGTCTGCAAGCTTGAGAAGAGTCAATAGTATGCTACAACAGTCAAAAAAAATAACTAATGCATCCTTAGGCTCCACTAAGAGAGACGTAGTGTCTAAAACTAGGAAGTGATGGTTCCACAGCAGATGTCCTAATCAGACCATTGTTCTGGACAGGATATTGACAAACTAGAGCATTCAGAGAAGAGCAACCAATGGCATAGTAAAGGACTTGGCCATCATGACATATAAGAATCACTTGACTAAAGTGGGGATCTTCAGCTTGGAGAATAAAAGACTAATGGAGTACAAGTTAGCTGTCTTCAAGTGTGAGAAGGACTGTTGTATGGAAGAGAGATTTGACTTTGGTTGGAAAGGACAAGACTAGGAACAAAAGTTTGCAGAGAAACAGACTAAGCTCCATTTAGGAAAAGACCTTATTAACAACTTGATCTATCCAAAAGTGGAATGGGCAGCATGAACAAACATTTACTTAATGATTTTTAAAATGTGGAGTGGGCTTTCTTGAGAGGAAGCTGATTCCACCTCCCAAAAGGTTTTCAAGCAAAGATATAGTTATCGGGGATGGTAGAGAAGGGATTCTTATTTAGATGTGTTTGGCCTCTGAGGTTCCTTCCAATTTTGAGCTTCTGAAGCCATAAACCCAGATGGAAGAGTATGAAATAATAAGTCACGTGGACATGCATCATCATCCATCGTTCATGCAAATACTAGTCTCTTTCTCCATATGCCTCATTAGAATTAAAAATAGAATCTCATTAGATTGGAAACTGCTTGAGGGAAGAGCTCAAGTATAAATATTCTTCTCATCTAGTACCTTGTATGTACAATAGATCTTTAGTAAGTATCTACTGAATTGAATTGAATACTTTTTTTAAAATAATATTTTGTTTTTCCCCAGTTACATGTAAAGATGATTTTAATATTCACTTAAAAATTTTTTTGAGTTCCAAATTTTCTCTCTCCCTTCCTCACCTCCCTCCCTCCTGAGACAGTAGGCAATTGGATATAAGTTATACATGTTCAATTATGCAAACGTATTACCATATTAGTCAAATTGTAAAAAAAAAAAAAGACACAGATCCAAAGAAAAAAAAACATGAAAAAAATTCAGAAAGTGAAAAATAGTATGCTGAGGTGAACTGAATTCTAACAGACTTTGAAGAACTCACTTTCTACACCTCGCACTCCCAAATACTATATAGGCCAGCAGTCTCTCACTTTGCTAATTAGATAGCAGTGTGGTGCAGAGGGATAAGCACCAAACTTAGAATCATGGGAATCAAATTTGAATTTACATTCTGCTACTTATTACCTTTATAACTGTGAGCAAATCACTTAATTTCTCTGGGCCTTGGTTTTTTCCAGTGTAAAATGTGGGAGGAGGACGGGAAGGGTGGTTGGACCAGATGACCTCTAAGGTCCTTTTCAATTCTCAATCTATGATTCTATGAATTACCCTTCCACGCAGAGCAAACATCCACACTGGAACACATTGCTCTGGAAAGCCTTCTTGCTTCTCTTCCCGTAGAACCACCAGCCCACTCTTGTGAATGAGGCTCCGGAGGATGTCCATGTCCCGGATGACACTGCTGTCGGATGAGTCAAAGATACAACCCTGGCGGGCCACATTGTCCTTTAAGATGATGATGCCATTCTCTCTCAGGCCTTCACAGCAGCGGGAAAGGAACTCTAGGAGATCTTTATCAGTTAGGTTCCCTGTAATCAGGAGTATAGAGGTATAACACTGAATCAGTGGATCGTTAAGTTCTGGTTCCAGTTCTGCTATTCTTAGATCAATCATTAAACTCTAGAAGATAGGGATGGGTCTACTCTATCAGCCTCATAGGGATTTTGTCAGGATAAAATGGAATAAGGATTCAAAGTGCTCAGGAAAGTTGTGTCAGACAAATGAATTATGGATCATCTATTGTATTTTATTAAATCTAAAAGATATTAATAGTTGACTTACTCTCTTAATTGAACCCTCCTCAGGGAAGAATGTGTGTGTGTGTGTGTGTGTGTAAATCAATCTTATAGGATTTTCTCATGTTTTTAATGAGGACAGTGAAGAAAAAAGGGATCCATCCTACAACCCCTGATAAAAACATATCCCATCAGTTAACAAGACATTAATTCTGGTGACTCCTCTATTTTCCTGCCACCCCTAATACATATTAAATATATCTCATTCCAGAATATAGACCACATCCTTTGAAGTGAATTCACTACGAAATGGAAAAAATACACAAAAATACAGCTAGAAAAAAAATTATAAAAATTATTTCACTTAACATATAGGTATTTCACTTTTTTTTACATTTCTCTAAATTCAAACAAAAACATTTTCATAAAGTTCATTATCATTGCTTTCTTCATCTTCATAATTTTTCATTATCTCTCTGAGAGTATAATCACAAGCCTCATTCCAATCTTCTATAAGCTGAACGTACAGGGATGTGCAGCCTTTTTCAGTATGGTGCTTCCTACAATTTTTGTTCTGAATCTGAGCTTCTTGTTTTCTTTCTAGCTAGAACAAGAAAAATGGAAATGTTAGAGCAACACAAGACTAACCAGAAACCCACTGTATCCAAATGACATCGTATTTTCTGAGAGTAGGCGTAAATTCCTGGAGGCTGTAGCAGTAATATGTTTCCACTTTATCACCTTTGGCTTGTAGGTAATTCTGGGCTTCAGCCAAGAAGGCTTCCATCATGTCCACCAGTTCCACACTGTTGAAAACTGGCAACAAGACATGTTTGCTGACCCTTCCTATCCCAGAACCACAGTCCAAGGCACAGTCAGTACCTGCTTTCCCAGGACCCTGTAGACAGCAAAAAGAACATGTCAAGTTGAACTGTATCTGAAGCAGTGAGTTTTAAACTTCCTAGCTATTATCTAATTTTCTCAAAGGGTAAAAGTGCAGACTCTTAGAGTTGGAAAACAACTAAGACATCTAATCCAACCTATTCTTTTACAAAAAAAATTTTAGCTGAATCTCCCCATGTCACCCAGACTGGATGTAGAGCAGCCACTTGTGAGCCTGATCTCATCACAGATCAGTAAGAAGATCTGTTCCCTTTCTGACCTGGGCCAACATGCCCCTCTTTAGGCAGCCTGGTCACCCCTATTCCTTGGGGGCTCACCATATTGGTACTGAATTTAGTGTGGACACCCAATCAACCTTAACCCTCTGCAATTCAGAACTCATGAGCTTAATTGATACATAAGCATCAGCCTCCCTGGCAAAGAGATAAACACTACCTTGGTAGATAAACGAAGGATGGATTGAAGTGGAGAGAGAATTGAGGAAGTGGAGGCAAATAGGGTAGATAGCTTTTCCCCAGGAGATTGACTGGAAAGAGAGGAGAGTTATAAGATGATAGATAATAGTAAAAGACTGTTAAGTTGGTGTAGACCAGCGTAGTATTTGTAGGCATTAGGGAAGGAATCAGAATATAGAGAAAGGCTGAAAACATGGGGGCATTAGTGGGGTTAATCTGCTAGGGAGAAAAATCTAGAGAGGATGGGATCAAGGGTACATGTAGAGGTTTTGGCCTTGATCAGGAGAAGGGCCATCTCTTCATCAGAGACTGGAATAAAACATGGGAGATGATGTCAAGTGGTTGCAAGAAAAGAAGGGGAGAAGAAACTCACAGAAAATATCTTTGATTTTCTCAGTAGAATATGAAGCAAAATCTATATCTAAGGGGGTAGATCTGGGAGGGGAACTGAGAGAAATAATAAGAGAAGTTTGGACTAGCTGTTATGGTGAATGGAATAGGAAAATCTATTAGGGAAGAGTAGGAAGATTGCCTGGGCAGCTAGGTGGCACAGTAAATAGAGTGCTGGGCCTAACCCTAGAGTCAGGAAGACTCATCTTCCTGAGTTCAAATCTAGCCTCAGATACTTACTAGCTGTGTGCCCTTGGGTAAGTCCTTTAAACCTGCTTGCCTCAGCTTCCTCACCTACCAAATGAACTAGAGAAGGAACTGGCACTCCACTCCAGGATCTTTGCCAAGAAAATCCCAAATGGGGTCACAAAGAGTTAGACATGACTGAAACAACTACAACAAGAAGAAGAATTGCCTTGATAAAGTGAGGACCCAGTTGAGATTAGATAATGTTAATTTTTAGCACAGCTTGAGTGGCTTTCTCTAGTTCAGTTAAGAAGCAAGTGAATAGGACTGGAGGAGGTGAACCTGGATTCAACCTGGGCATATTGAATGGAGGCAGGAGTTGGAGTGCCATATTGGAGCAGCTACAAGTAAGCCATCATAGATGGATTACAAAGTGCATGGAATGGGGTAAAGAAGAGAAGACTGGAAAGTAGGAAGGAGCTATGTTATGAAGAGCTTTAAATGCCAAACAGGATTTTGTATTCGATCCTAGAGGAGGTAATAGAAAGTCATTGGAGCTCATTACATAAGGAAGTAAAATGGTCAGACCTACACTTTATAAAAATTACCTTGGCAGTAGAATGGAGATTGGATTAGAGTGCAGAGAGCCTTGAGGCAGAGAAACTAGTGAGAAAGCTATTGCAATAGCACCAGAAGGAGCTGAGTAGAGCCTGAACTACAGTTGTGCCTACATGGAGTTTCCTTCCCTGAACTTGCCATGATGTCTCAAGAGATGGATCTGTTGTTCCACCGCACGAGTTACAACAGTATGGGACCTCCCGGTCCAAAAACAAATGGATAGGCTCTGTATTTTGACTGTAATAAGAAGATCAAGCAGAAGACGACTTGTTTACTCTTGACATTGTTTTAAAAGTGGAATCTTTTCTGAAATATGTTTTGGGAGTACTAAATCATTCCTTAGATGGCCTGTGGTTTATTTTAGGTCTTATGTGGATGGAATGGTACTCTACCAATCTTCAGCCTCAGTCTTTCACCTCAAAGACTAGATGTGATATTACTCCAATTCAATTTAATTCAACAGGTGTTTATTAAATGCTTACTGAACCTACATACAAGGCATTGGAAAAGGGTTCGCTCTCCTAGAGGAACACATTTGCATATAAAAGTAAACACAAAGTTAGTCTGCTTATTTTTATTAAGAATCTCCTATATACAAGACCCTGTTCTGAGCTCCTGGGATACAAAGAAAGGCAAAATATAGTTCCTGCCCTCAAGGAGCTCCCATTCTAATGGCCAAGACAATTTGTAAATAACTAGATACATAAAAGAAATAAAAAGTAATTTCAAGGTGGAGGGAACACTCACAACTGGGGAGATCAGAAACATATTGTGTTCAGTTGGGAAAAAATTAGTCACTTTTCAACTCTTGTAATACCAAGATTTTATTTTATATTTTTAAAATTGCATGACTTATCCACCACCCCAAAACTGGGCAAAAAGCAAGTCTGTACATTCCATTACCTGGGGGGGGGGGGAAGAATTAGCCAAAGCAAACTGTTTCATATTGAAAAAGAAAAATAAAAAAGAATTTTTTTTATTTTAAAAGTTTCATCTGTACCAAATTATTTTGTCAAAGTTGGGATGGCCTCTGTGTAAACTTTGTGCTTGAAATTAAGGTAACTAGATACTTAGAGCTGCCAATCAGAAACTTGAGCAGAAAACCCACTCGCAATTTCTGGACATCCAGACCAGAGGAAAAAGATACATGAATGAAGAGAGAAGGGAAAGAGCAGAAAAGCCAGTTACCCCTTTCACACAAAGGTCCTTTTTCTCAACTGTATAATACTGCCCTTTCAGATGAGGATGACCAATGTAGCACATGGAGAGAGACCCCTCAATTTACAGGGCTCCCCTAGAACCTGCTACCTTAGGTCCAAGGTCCTCTACGTGTCTACATGCGTTAAAACCATAGTCACAAGATTCCACAAACTTATTGACTTTTAATAGTCAGCCAGAGAACACAATTAGTTCAAAGCAAAAGAATTTAATATAAAGGTATAGTAAAATAGCAGAAATAAAACTTATCCCCCATAAACCTGGAGTATAACCTCCCCACACACCATCCATGGGAAAAATAACCACACACACATGGATCAGGTGTGGCCAAGGTGCATGTGGAGGGACGAACTCATGCCTCGAAAATTCAGCCTCTTTTATATCCTGGCCTAATCTTTGCTTGACACGAAGCCTCTCCCAAACACAGCTGTATTGGAGCTTTGCTGGACACATCACTTCCGCAGGACACAGACACTGGTTGAATGCTGCTACTCAAATGGAGATGTGGTCTTTGCCAAACCTGGCTCCCCTGGAAACCTCTCGGATGGATATATAGTCTTTCCCAGACATTACCAGGCATAGCTCTACTGGGCATTTGCCTGTGGAGTGTCTCTCTGCTTCCTGTTTCTGACTTCAGCTGAAGTCCTTGGCTATAATAACATCTCTTCTTTGTGGTAAGAGAGGGCTCTGAAAAGCTTTCCTTAAATTCAAAAGAAATCAAAGACTATTTTAGAGTCCCTTTAGAAAAGTAGCTACACAAGCTAGGAGTCCGACATGCAAGTCACTGCCACAAAGGACTGCAAACTAGGTGCAGAGGCCTCAGCAGCACTGAGGTCCAATGAGATATGGAAAAAGGTGGGGGCTGGTGTAGCCATGGGTAGTTCTTTCTTCATTATTTTTTCCAGGATGTTTGGAACAGGAGATGAAGATTTTAGTTGGGGGATTGGGTGGAAAAGAAAAAACAACAATTTGGTAAAGATTATAAACAGGAGAATTAAATTGAATTAAAGATGGCAGAAATGAAACCATGAAAAAGCTTGCATGAGAAACCTTGGGTGAAAATCAGTTTGTGTTTTTGAGAAGAGGAGGCTATCCTCTCCCCTAGGACTATCAGGTGCTTTCAGGTGTGTGTGTGGCAGGAGCCAAAGAGGTCTTCAGTCAGTGTCTTTTGAGTCATGGCTAGTTGATCAAAACCCTACCCTCAATGCCAAGTCTCCCCACCCCCAAACAAAAGGCCCCTTGTCTCTTCAACTGATCCTCACATGATATGATATTAAAATCCTTCACCGTTCTGGTTGGCCTTTATTTTATCAATTAATTGGACATTATTTTTATCAATAACGTTGCTAAGATATGGTGCCCAGAAGTGAACACTACGGATCTGGCCAAGGCAAAGGACAATGGTTCTTCCATTGGCCCCTCTGTCCTAGAGACTGTCATCTTAAGGCAGCCCATGAATGGAATGAACCGTGTAAAATGAGGAGATTGAACCAGTCTTTCCAATTTATAAAGGAGGAAACTGGGGTACATAAATGGTAAATAAACAAAAAAGCTAAATTTATTAAAACAAAATGTATGATTAAGATGTTTTACTAATTGGATTGAATTATTGAGATATGTGTGCATATGTATGCATATATTTATGTATGTATGTCAAAAGAGCTACTCAAACCCAATCACTCTTCTAGTGTCTTGTATAATCCTCACATCTCTTTGCCCCATTGCACTTTCCTCATCTTCACAGCTATTTCCTTCTCTTGGGAGTTGAATAGTTTCTTCCCTTTCTTCCACCTCTCATTCAAAGTTCTCTGAAAAGGAGATGGGAAGACTGAACTCACGGAGGAAGTCCCAATGCTCCGCACAGACAGCATAAGCACTCTCACTGTGGCTACACTACTTCATCATGACTAGACATACGTCCACTCTCAAATTGCAAAGAACGCTTCTAACGGAGCTCCCTTCCTGCCGTGTTTGACATGCAGATGAAATTGTTTCACAAAAACCATAGAACGGTGGAACAGGCTAAACAAAGGTTTGCTTGACTGTGCCTAGCCTGTGGGGAATGTAAAAGGCATAAATATTAATGGGTTCAATTCTCCTCATTTAAATAATTTCATGAAATCAACTT